CTAGCCCTAGGATTTTTTTTTTTTCTTCCCCGCCATATACCTGTTTGCCTTTGTTCGACCCTGCCTGTGTTTCTGACCTCTCTGCTTTAATAAAGCTTGCACATGGATCCGCATGTCTCACGTCTTGTCAGCCCCATAATAGAATACTCGGCCACAAAAGGATCCAGCAGCTTCTCGGATGGACATTGGACAGGAATGGATACAGGAAGAATATTGTTAGCCCTTAGACAGGGCACACGATCGCTGGAGGGCTATATTCAAGAATATTTAGCAATCGCTCCTTATTCAGATCTGCCGGACTGTGTTTTGATAGACTTTTTCTATGAAGGCATTAATCAACCGCTAAAATCCAAACTCATTCACGAGGGTCCACGTTCATCTTTAAGTCAGTGTATGGACTATGTTTGTTGACAGTTGGTTCAGCGTTCACTGTGGGTATCGCGGCGGAACGCGACCCCGCACTCACTCATGTAATGGCGGCCACACTAGAGTACGCTCACAAAATGGCGCCGACAGCGGAGCACGCTCACAAGATGGTGGACACAACAGCACCCAGTCATGTCACAGCTGCCCATCTTGAGTCCAGTCAAGTCACCATTGATCCTCCTGAGTCAAGTCAACTCACAGCAGATCTTCGTGAGGCAAGTCAAGTCACACCGGTTCTTCATGAGTCCAGTCAAGTCACAGCTAATCTCCCTGAGTTCAGTCAAGTCACGGTTCATTATTATGAGTCAAGTCAAAACAGATCTTCCTGAGTTGAGTCTAGTCACAGTTGATCTTCCTGAGTCGAGTCTAGTCACAGTTGATCTTCCTGAGTCGAGTCTAGTCACAGTTGATCTGCCAGAGCCTCGTCACATTCCAGAGCTTCGTCACATCTCAGCTGTTTCTTCCAGAGTGACGTCACGCCTCAGTTATTCATCCAGAGTCACGTCACATCACAGCTGATCATCCAGAGTCATGTCACGTCCTGTCTGTTACACCCAGATTATCTAGGTTAGTCCTTCGGTATCCCAGTCTGGTATCCAGTGTGAGGGATGCACCGCTGGTGTCTGCACGCACAGCTGGTATCCCCAAACCCACTCACTCTAGCCCTCCTGTTCATGAACTCATTCCCCTGTCTGCAGCACTTCCCATATGGGGGGTTGCTTTATGGTGTATCTGGGCCGCGTACTCCACCGCCGATTTGCTAGAGGCACCGGCTACAACATCTCCAGAGGTGGCGGCTTACGCTGCAGAACCTCCCGAGGTAGCGGTGTCATGAACTTCCGTCTGCTAGCCATCAGAGGTCACCCTTTCTATTTTCATTGACTCTCGCACTACACACTGTTGCATATCACCCCGGACTACATATCCCATCATTCATTGCACTGATTGCACACAGCACTGATTGCACATAGCTGTTTCATATCACTCACTCACTATTTAACACGCCTAGCCTAGCCTAGTCTAGTCTTGCCTTGCCTTGTCTGTTTTCTCGGTTTCTGATCTTTGCCTGTTTTCCTGGATTTATCCCTTTATTCTTGCCCTTTTGATTCTGCTCCCCATTCGTTGAGCCCTTCGCTAGCCCTAGGATTATTCTTGTGTCTTGCCCGCCATATACCTGTTTGCCTTTGTTCGACCCTGCCTGTGTTTCTGACCTCTCTGCTTTAATAAAGCTTGCACATGGATCCGCATGTCTCACGTCTCGTCAGCCCCGTAACACAGTCAAAGCAGTGGGCAAAACTGCATCTGCTAAAACTGCTCACAAATGTTTTACTTACTGGAGCGAGAAGAAGATTTAGAGGGAATATGTGTGTTAGGATGAGGTGGTCGATCTTTTTTAATGCTAAAATACTTTCTCTTATCATATATTGAAAGGGATAGTTCACATTATTAACTTGCCCTCAAGTTGTTTCTTTCTTCTCTCGAACACAATAGAAGATATTTTGAAGGAACGGTTGATGGTAACCAAACAATTGATGGTGGCTATTAACTTCCATAGTAAGGAAAAAAATGCTATGGGAGTCAATGGCTACCATTAACTGTTTGGTTACCAACATTCTTCAAAATATCTTCTTGTGTGTTCAGCAGAAGAAAGAAACTGATACAGGTTTAGAACAACTTGAGGGCAAGTAAATGATGACAGAACTTTCATTTTTGAGTGAACTTTAATATGCAGAAGCAATTTTAAACTGTACTGTTTATTACAGCATTTCACCAAAGTAACCATGTCTCAACCAATGGTGTGGGTGGAACTATCTGCTTTGTTGACCGATGAAAGACAAAGTCCATTTGGTGACACTGATGGCATAGAAAATGCATATTTGACTCTTTGTTTAGGTGGTGTGTGCACACCAAAAGTGAATTTATTATTAAAGCAAGTAGATTATATACAAAGTCGATGCAAAGACAAGATATTTGCGATATTATCATAAATAAAAAAAACTCAAGCTCACTAACGTAAACAGTCACCAATTAAATAAGAATAAGAAACGAATTACAATGATAAGAAGAAGAAGAAGAATTATAAGAATAAGAAACTAATTACAATTGATCTTCCTGTCCACCCTCATAAAGATGGGCATCTCAGGAACCGCACTCCAATGGTGCAAGTCTTACCACTCAGATAGGTCTTTCAGGGTGTCTTGGAGGGGTGAGGTTTCTAAGTCACAACTTCTTGCTACTGGGGTTCCTCAAGGCTCAGTGCTTGGACCTCTTCTTTTCTCCATCTACATGCCATCATTAGGATATGTCATTCAGAAGCATGGCTTTTCTTATCACAGCAATGCTGATGACACTCAACTCTACTTCTCATTCCAACCAGATGATCCGATGGTAGCTGGTTGCATTGCAGCCTGTCTGAGAGATATTTCTAGCTGGATGAAGAACCATCACCTTCAACTCAACCTTGCTAAGACAGAACTGCTCGTGGTCTCAGCCAACCCAGCACTTCATCACAACTTCTCTATAAAGCTGGGTTCGTCAACCATAACTCCTTGCCGGACAGCCAGGAACCTTGGAGTTGTGATCGATGATCAGTTATCTTCACAGACCATATTGCTACAACGGCCCAGTCCTGGAGATTTGCCTTATACAACATTAGGAAGATTAGACCGTGGTACCCTTCCTATCAGAGCAAGCTGCACAACTCCTTGCCCAATCTCTTGTTCTCTCCAGACTGGACTATTGTAATGCTCTCTTGGCCGGCCTCCTGCATGTACTATCAAGCCTCTGCAACTGATCCAGAATGCAGCAGCGAGAGTGGTCTTTAACGAGCTGAAAAAAGCTCACGTTACACCTCTCTTCATCAGTTTACACTGGTTACCAGTAGCTGCTTGCATCAAATTCAAGGTACTGATGTTTGCCTACAAGACAACAACTGGCGCTGCACCAATATAAATCTGTTCAATACTCCCACACTCTATGAGCACCATCTTCACATGCACATATAGCGAAATGAGTTCTCTTTCACGGCTGACTGTGTTTCAATGTCTGAAAATCACCTGTTTTTAAACCACAATGCTTAAAAACGCGTGCAAACGATACGTTTTCATGACCACGTAGCACAACAAAGTCATACGAGACGATAGTCAAAAATCTCTATCGGTTGACAAATTTCTACCAGTTAACTGTGTCTACTGGTATATCGTCCATCCCTGGCGCTAGCAACACCAAAGTAATGGGTTTGATGCCCAAAGAATGCATGAACTGTATACCTTGAATGCAACACGATTTGGATCAAAGCATCTGCCAAATGCATAATTGTCAAACAACCATTTTAGTGGCTTGGCCTTTTGTTTTTAAAGATGTATAAATTAAATCTGTATTACATATATGTTTAGTTACACGTTGAGTCAAAAATTCTGCTTCAGTATATGAGCCTACAGTACATGGTGTCCTAAAAAGTGTTGGTTTAGATAAAGATTACATAAAGAAATATGCCCCGAGTTGTATTTACAGTCAGTCTGAAGGTGAGGTTTGTTTTAGTAGAAATCGACTCGAGGTATTTTTCTTAGAACTTTAAATGGACCACTGAATCAAAGACTTTGCTTCTTTGATGGAGACTTCAAATGAAGATCTCTAGTGGACAACCAAACCATCTGGCCTGATTGGAGTTGCTTGGTGGTGATGGTTTGTTTGGATCTTCTGACTGAGAACAGCTTGCTGCAATTGGACATATGCTTCCTCCCAAATCTGTTGGCTTTATCAATATTCGTTAACACAGATGATTAGCTGGACTGGGTGAAAAGAGGGGACCGTATCCCAGGAGTTAACATAAACTGATTCATCTCATGTCATTGCAAGTGGAGTGTCAGTTTTGGAAAGTTGGTGCTGGGAAGAGTTTTTTCTTCTCCCCCATTGCATGTTGTGAGTCATCATTCTCTTACCAGTTTCACTATTGATGCTAAAAAGACCAATTTACAATGATTTTTAGTGCTAGTCAAAGTTGGTTTATGCTAATCTAGCTGATGGACCAGCACAACCTTAATGTAAAATTAATCATATATAGTATATTTCACAATATTACTGTTTTACTATATTTTGATCAAATAAATGCAGTCTTGGTCAGCATAAAAGACTTATTTCAAAAACATTAAAAAATCTTAAAGACCCCAAATGTTGTGTGACTAGTGTTCAAATTACACTTACTTATATTGTGCCTGGAAGTGCTCTTGTACAAAGCTGTGACATACACCAGGCTGTGTCTGTGGTGGGGTCAGGGTATCAGAGACAGGCTTTTCATCACCTCCTTCTTGACCCTGAAACGAAACAAAAAGGTCATGTAGACATTTAGATAGACTGTGCCTTACTGGACACTTTCCAGGTGTTAATGAGAATATCGACCTGATTTCTGCCTCACTCAGCGAGCCAATATTGCACTCTCATTCTTACAGTTTGTTTGAAGTTTTAGACTGGCAGTAGTGAACTTGACAACAGCTAAAAGAAAAACAGGAGGATAAAACCCACAGGGAAAGGTGATACACACTTCTCAAGGTCAAAAAACAAGATGGTACAGATCGTATACTATGACTTATGATTTTATGTCAGACAAAGAGAGAGAAAGAGGACGGTGTATAAACTACAACTGATTGAAAAGTTTCAACCGGTTTCATCACCAGATGAAAGCAGAGTGGTGGCCACCGAGACCTAAACGAATTAACAATTCTACACACCTTCTATCATCTGTTTTAGAGTATGATAATCTAATATAACTAAGATCTGAGGACTTTTAACCAGAGTCAGAGAACAACTTGGATGCATTATTGATACACCCACTGCAATGCTGACTACAAAAACAATACACTCTTCATTATTCTTCTATGATGGAAATCTAATAAATTAATATAAGTAATACATAATATAATCTAATTACACAATGTGATGATTAATTAATCTAATTAATTGCAAATCCACGCATCAAAAAGATATGAGAGAAATATTTTATTTGATTAAACAGAATTTATTACTGTATTACTTATTTAGATATATTTACAGACCGTTTATTGCAGCTCAGAGGTAGCATGAATGCATTTACACTGAAATTACAATGGCATAAATATAATAACTATATTGTGTCTACAATATAACAAAATATAAACTTTTTATTTTTTTAATTATTGCATAAAATCAATATCACATTAGTATAAAAATCAATAACAATGCTATTCACAACAAAAACAGCACTTGTGCTATTATTCCCATTAGTAATGCACTCGTTGCTTGTGTCATATTGTTTAACTACAGTATTTTATATGCTATAAATATGAGGCAAAAACTGAGGCATTTTTGCCTGAATCTCTTGGATATTAGTGGTATATAACTCAATTCTATAGGCTAAATCCCAGTGAGTTGTTGTCCTGCATCACGTTCGTCACCAATCAACTGTATGAAATGTAAGATGACCTACATAGTTCCCCTTCAGGAACTCGAGCTGCGTCGAGATCGCTTTGGGAACGCCTCTGCGTGACCGCGTTCTGAAGCACGTGTCAAATCATCCCAATGGAGTAGCGAGACGTCACGAGCAGAGTGACGTAAGCACCAGAAAGTATAAAAGCGCATCTGGCAGAGCAAAAACCAGCTTCTGCTCTTCAGTAGCGCTCTGTGTATGTGTCTGTCTATTTACTGTTGTCTGTCCGCACAAGCATATATAAAACAATCATGAAAAAGTCTATGGTGAGCGGACGGCATTCCAAACACTGTGTTCCTCCCTGCCCACGATATCTGGCGGTGGGGGATACACACGATTTGTGTGTTGTTTGTTTGGGAGCGGAGCATGCACGGTCAGCTCTTGAGGGGGCTGATTGTCATGACTGCGAGCTACTCTCGCTGCGCATGCTCCGCTCTCGCCTGGCCGTGTTTGATGAGAGCGGCCAGGCTCGCGATCTTGCTGGCAGCGGTCCCGTTGTTGCAGAGGCACAGCGCAGACTGTTGTCATGGGGATCGCAAGTGGATTTAGCGGAGGGATCCGAGACGGGTTCGTCCTTTTCTCGGTCCTCACCCGCTAGATCCGCGGCTCTCTCTCAGGGTTCGGAAGCCCAAACTGCGGTTTCTTCTCCCCGGAGAGAGAACCAGGCACTTCATCTATCTTCCTCCGAGGAGGTAGAGGTGATGAGTGTCGAGACAGAGGAGACTGTGGACTCGCCACCGCAGTCCCTCGCGTATGAGGAGCTCGTGGAGGTTGTGACTCGTGCTGTAGCCAAATTAAATACAGTGTCTAATTATTCCAATATCGTGGGGCTGAATGAGAAGGGATATGGGGCGATGCCAATGGTGGATCAGACGCTCGTGAGCTATCTCTCCCCATCCTCAGCATCGTCCCTGAAGGCCCCGAAGCTTCCCACCAGGCCTGTTAAGCTAACATCTAGTCTGGTTGGGAAAGCTTATACGGCGGCAGGTCAGGCTGGTGCATGCTTGCACATCATGCGATGTTACAAGCGTACCAGGCTGACCTGCTCAAGGACCTGGATGACAGGGAGGAGGGGGAATCCGACGTGGTAGCTGAACTGCGTCGGGCCACAGATTTGTCCCTCCGAGCCACCAAAGAAACGGCCAGAGCTATCGGCCGTTCAATGGCAGCAATGGTGGCTACGGAGCGGCATCTCCGAATCTGTCCGATATGCAAGATAAGGACAGATTCTTCCTCCTAGACACCCCCCTTTCGCCCACTGGCCTTTTCGGCGACGCAGTCAACACTGTCGTCGAGAGGTTTCAGGAGACGAGGAAGCTAGCGGCGGCGTTTCAACGGTTCCTGCCTCGTCGCTCCCAGGCCCATGGGGCTGCTGAGCGGGAGCAGCCCCATCCGTCAAGCTCCTCATACCGCCAGTCACAAAAACAGAGCGTTGCAACCCGCACCCCTCCGCAAAAAGAACGGGGGTTGGGCCGACGCTCTCAGTCGGGGTTTTCTAGACCGAAGACGGATCTGTGGACCGTTATTTTGTCGAAGAAGACCTCGACTAAACGGTCCTGACGCCAACATCGTCAGGCCCCTGAGGGCAGCCCCACCTGGGGAGGAAAGGATAACACCTCAGTATACGGTGCCCGATCCTCCTCAGTGCTCTCACGGAGAGTCACTGATACCCCTGCCACCCTCGGTGCTTCAGGGCTCAGTGAGCTCCAGCGAGCGAAATTCCCAGCTGCCGCCCAGCGGCGGTACGGCACGGGAGAGCTCGCCCCCTCAAGTGAGGGTTTTACAGCAGTCAGGTCGGTCGTTCCCTGCCGGTCATCCGCTTCAGGGCACCAAACTGGCTCCTCTACTAACACCAGAGGCCAGTCTCCAGAGGCTGGTTCCCTTAGTAGATTTTCTGGTAGCGTGGAAACTTCTACCAAATATCTCAAAATGGGTCCTGCAGATTGTAGAGAAAGGTTACAGAATCCAGTTCGGTTCTCGTCCGCCTCGTTTCAACGGGGTCATCCCCACACTAG